CCCATCCCCCAACCCGAGGATCACCACAACGAGCCCGTTCTCAACAAGTTGACGATTTGTCGTAAAATGTTACGCTTTGGGAGTGAGAACGTGTTGTTATTAGATGCTGCTCCAGTCAGCCAGAGAGTCCCCCGCCGCCCCGCCCGGTGCCTATTCCATCCCCAAAATGCGCTGGCTGATGTCGGGGCAACATGAGTACAGGCAGCTTTTTTTTTTTTTTTTTGCCGGGGCTGGCAATCCGTGTCACAGCTTGTTCATGACATGTTTGAGGACACTGAGATAGTGGTGATGTGTGATAGGAGTGACAGATGGGTTTGAATGTGAGGATGGGATCAAATCAGGGATCAGCTCTGACCACCTTCTTGTGATAGTGATGGGTTGTTGATGGATGACTCCACTTTGGATTCAAATAAGGCAGCATGCTGCAAAATACTGGATTAGCTTAAAAGAAAAAAAAACATTTTTGATGACATGAAAGTCTAAAAAACTGACTTTTGTGATTTGTCTTGCAATTCCAGTATGGAGGTCTCAAAATGCACATGCTAAAGAAAAGAAGATTTCACTCTTGGGGACCTCATATATAAAGAATATGTGCAAATTTTTTCAGATGATTCAAAAGAGCCACAACAGGAGTCATTTGACAGGAGTCACTGAGACTATTCCCAGGTATCCGGTTGGTATACATAAAAAATCTTCTCAGTGTACATGATTTTAGGCAATGTACAATTTTGCTAGCTAGATTAGGAAGAGGAAATGATGGCAGGCAAGTTTTGGTATCTTTTGGGGACAGCTGGTTTTTAGTTTATGCCATGTTGTCAGTCAGTTCACAGTTAATTAGTGGATAAAAGTCAGTGGATAAAAATCGTGTTCATGTGGCATCAGCTCTCACAGGGATTCTGGGGAATCAGAAAGCAGATGCGTTAGCAGGGAACTCTACCTGTAAAGAAAAAACTGGCAAAGACAGAGGAGTACATGTGACAGGCGGCGGTAATGCAATGGAGATGGATGCCAACTGCTTTTAAATCCCAACAGTGATGGGTCGGTCATGAACGAAATGGCTCTTAGAGCCGGGTCTTTGAAGTGAACGATGCGAGCGGGGCTCCTTATTGGGAGCCGTGGGGTTTTTTTTTTCTTCTTTCTCCTGCCCTCTCTTTCACTTTTTTTCACTTCACGCTGCAAGTCACCCTCGTGTTTGCGCTGAGCAGAGACGGCAAACAGAGTCTTGCATTTGCGCCCCTGGAGTGAATAAATAAAAGTATATTTACAGTGGCCCCTAGAGACAAAGCGAGAGAGATGCTGGCAGAATATGAGAAAGTGTCAGACCACGTGAAAGTCACCCAGAAAGGTAGTGTATGTAGTCATGTCTCAGTTCTCTGCCTTGACTTTCAGGGTATTTTTTTATAATATTTATAAAACGATTAAATCCAAGGTGATATTTTTGGAGGTGCCTCTTTGCTGACTTTATAAAGTCTGTGAAGGTTCTCAGTCACCAGCTTAACAATGTGGTGTATGCTGTACAGTGCAGCGAGGAATGCTCAGACCTCTACATTGGAGAGACCAAACAGCCACTTCACAAGCGCATGGCACAACACAGAAGAGCCACCTCCACAGGACAAGACTCAGCAGTCCATCTGCATCTTAAGGATAAAGGACACTCTTTCGAGGATGCCAATGTTCACATTTTGGACAGAGAGGACAGATGGTTTGAAAGAGGAGTGAAAGAAGCCATCTATGTCCACTGTGAGCGACCATCTTTGAACAGAGGCGGGTGGTTTACGACACCAACTCTCTGCCATCTATAATCCAGTTTTGAGATCCCTTCCCAGACGCCTTAACGCCCACTCACATCCTGGGCCATCTGACCTCAGGAATTCGCATGATAAGGTGGGGCCAGGTTTCACAATGAACTCACCCGAAACTCTGGCTGATTGGGACCCACACCCAATTTCACACCTTGGCTCAGGCGATTAGAGGATCATCAGGGGGTCCTTTTGTCCCTCTGTGGGGGGATACTCCCACTAGGTTTATATCTGGGACTCTCCACCATTTGACCTTAGAACTGAAGAAGCTTCTCGGATGAGAGGTGAAACGTCTTCAAGCAACTTAAAGAAGTCCAGACGCTTTTCTTTGCAAGCTCCTTTGATGATTATTTTGATAGTTGACTAGATCTTATAAAATCTTGTCAGTGAAACACAGAAACTAAATGTTAATGTCTGCAGCTGTAAAATAAACTGAGCTAAGACACGTATACATTCAACTGACATTTTTTAAATGCAGATGCAGCTGCTTCAGTCCATGACTGGCAGTGCTTGATGAAAGATAAAAGACGAAAGTGTTGCTAATCAGAAACTTTCCAGATTGTGTTGAATTGGTTGATCAAATTCTGGTGGCACATTTCTGCATTCATAATTTCTTCATTTTGACAGGATATCCAACACCACACTGGCTGAAAGGCAGCTCTGAAACATGACAGAGCCTATACCGTGTTTTACAGATGGCTGTAGACACTGTTGTACCTCTCTGCTGACCTCCTCTATAGTCATGTGCATCTTGA